TAGAATTGAACTTGAAGATTTCCCCCCATGAATTCATGTTTGGGAGATAATTACTAGTGAGTAATAATATCACTGACTGAGGTTTTCTAAGAAACAAACACTCTTCAGTGTATAGACTTTGTTAATAGCTGAAACATAAATGCTAAATCAATGGAGATGTTTTTAGACTGCAGAGTAGGACACCTAGTTTGCTTTTCATTTATTCAGCAACCTACACAGTGCCTACTTTTTGCCAAATACTCTGCCAGACGTTGGGGATGAACAGGGAAGTCCTGGAAGTACTACGGTGTGTACTGAGCTGAGTAGGGAATTTGGATGGGTAAACGGATCATTGGGGAACAGTGTCCTAGGTGCTGTAATGGAGGCGTGCACAGTTCCATTGGAGCAGTTGGAGGAAGGCTCTACTGCTAATGACATTTGAGTTGATTTTTAAAAAAATATATTTTATTGATTTTTTACAGAGAGGAAGGGAGAGGGAGAGTTAGAAACATCGATGAGAGAGAAACATCGATCAGCTGCCTCCTGCACACTCCCTACTGGGGATGTGCCCGCAACCAAGGTACATGCCCTTGACCGGAATCAAACCTGGGACCCTTGAGTCCACAGGCCGACGCTCTATCCACAGAGCCAAACCGGTTAGGGCTTGAGTTGATTCTTAAAAGTCTGCCAGGTTGAAAGGAAGTAAAGGGATATTCCTTATAGAAAGAATGCTCTTGGGTGGTCTAATTTCTTTTAGCTAGGAACTTGTACAATCTAGGCATAGATAATTAACAACCATTAAACTTCTTAACTCAAATAGCAGGTCTTCAGTGGACCTTTAGCTTGTACTTGAGTGCAACAACTTCACGATGAAATTCTCTTCCGGGCCTGCAGAAATTTTGGCACATGGTCAAAGCCCAGTACATAGTGGATGGATTGAGGGATGAAAGGACACGGTGAGTCCAATAGATATCACAACGTGTGGATGAGGTAGAGTTGTCACTGTCAGAAAACTTGGAAGCAGATTTACAATTTCAGCCAAATAGGAGAGCAATTTAATTTTGTACAGCAAAGGGACCTAGCGATAGAGCCTATATTTTCCTCAGCAAATAGCGTGGGCTCTTATGAATTACCTGCACAAACATTTAGCTTGGTCTCCAGGGTCTTGCCCTATGCAACATGAAAGGCATGAATTCCCTCTAACAAAGGTTAAGGGCAGGTATTACCAGCTAATCACAACATCCCTGAACTTTCGCCAGGCCTCTGTGGAGTCTCTGATTTTAAAGCCACCTCCTCGCCGTCCCTGTAGAATTATTAAGCTGTGCAATGTATGCCTGAACAGTTCAGAGGCTTGACCCGTGGAAGGGGCTATTTTAGATAAATGATTACCAAGTGCAGTATTAGTTTTGGTGTCCTGATGTTGAGCAACTTCTCCCAACAATAACTAGTCATCAGGCCCACAGATTCTTAAGACTCCTCATTTAGAAGAATACACACACCCTTTTCTTTCAGTCTCCAGAATTGTGTGTCCACCTGCTTGACTGTTCTCTTGGATGTCTCTGCTCTCTCAGACCTAAACAGGGCCATTTATACATCTTACTCTTCACCACCTGCTCCAGATCTGTACCTTCTTTTGCTGTGTGCCGCTCTCACTAAATGGACCACCGTTTACCTAGTAACTCAAGGAAGGGAGGAGCAAGGTGTTAATTCTTGACATCCTTCCTCAGCCCGCAAATTTAGCCAGTCAGTTTCACGTAATTTTCTGACATCCATCTACCTTTCTTCATTGGATGTGCCATCAGCCATCATCGTCCATTTGAACTACTGCCCTGGCCTCCTAACTGGCCCCCCTGCTTCCACTTCCGCTGTTTCTGATCAGTTCTCCACACGGCGTCTACAGTCATCTTTGTAAAACGTAACTTGATTATGTCATCTCATGCTTACAAGCCTTCACTGGCTTCCCTTTGCGCTGTAGCTAAAAGAAAAAGAATTTACCCTAGCCTGCGTGGCTGGGCATGACAGAGCCCTGACTTACCTTTCCAACTTTATCTTTTCCCCAATCCTCCTCTCCCTTTTCCCAGCTATGGTGACTCTCTTTCAGCTCTTGGATGCGCCAAGCTGTTTCCTGCCTTAGCGTCTTTTCCCTGTTTCCTTGGCCCTGAATGCTGCCGTCCGTGCTTCACCTGGCTCGCTCCTCAATTTTAGGGCTCCTCTTAATCGTTACTTTTTCTTGAGAGGTCTTCCACATCGCCCAATCCAAAGTTGCCCTCCCATAATCTTGATCAAGACCCATCTGAGACTAAGATTCGTTTGCTTTACCTGTATCTCCTCACTGTAACATGATGCTCCAGGGGGACCACATCTGTGTGGTCTCCCACTGCCATGTAGCACAGTGCTGTACAGGGGTGGTGCTTCATAACATTTTTTGAATTAAAGACTGTTTCATTAAAATAAAAGTAGACCTAGAAAGGAGACTCTTGGCCTTCTCTTTGCAATAATGACGGGGCCTGCATCTGATTCCTGTAGCAGGGTTTGCACATGGCTTCCATACGAGTGTCGAGTAGAGTCCTAACAGGAAGTCAGTTATTTGCTCTTTTGCCTTGCAAAAGAAAAGAAAAAAAAAAAGAAGCTTGGTGGCATTTTCAGTGTTTGTCTTTGGGAGCCTCACAGACTAAGTTTAGGTCCTGGTTTTGCTCCCGTAAAGCTGTCTAATCTCGAGCAAGTTAACCCAGTTCTCCCAGGTCTGTTTCCTCGTGTATAAAATGCGGGAAATTACATCTATCCCATGGGCTGGTTATGAAGATTACATGAGATTGTGTGCAAGGTACCTCATACCATGGTGGGCACCTTGTAGCTCAGCCATTCTTTTTCTTATTCCCTTTATATCACAAGAGATTAATAAGGACTCTGAGAAAACTCATTTAATTTACCTCGTAAACTTACTGTACTTATTTAATGCTAAATCATACCCAGGGGCACTCACATGAGGTCAAAATCAGTTTAAGAGGAAGTAATCCATCTCTAGGGTGCAAATAAACAGTGATGGACTGGTTATATAATGGCCAGTAACGTTGGGCTCCCTCAGAAGGATATTCGTGGAATTCACCTTTGCCTTATTCCAGGAGTTTTTTTCTTTTTCAACATTATAATATTAAAATAACAAATAAATACAAATAGGTATTTTTTATTCCAGTTCAAGTAGATGTTCTGTGGAGCTGGGCCATGTGAAAATATTTTTCCCATTTTAGTATTTCTATGGAGAAGCCTTGGCAGGCCCATCGAAAACTCTGGAGTCCAAAGCTCTTCTAATTATGTTGTCATAATTTGGGGGTAATTTAAAAATTTAATATTCTGAAGACAGTTTATTAAATTTAAATGGACTGGATTCGAATTAGTAAGTGGTGTATGTTTACCACCTACTTAGGCATTCCAATCTGGATGCTTGATTGAGTTTAAGGGAAAATTATTGTGTCATATCTACCAAATTATCCAAGGTTAATTCTTTGTCTCTATGAAGTGAGAATAACTCACTGACCTTTGCCGCTATGAAATGTGTTTCACTGAATGACATGAGACAGCACTGTGGCAGGGGAATTGTTTCTCTATTCTCTATAAGCCAAGTCCTCCATTGAGCCAGGGGCTGAAGCATTACAAGGTTAAGGCCTAGCCCTGGCCGGGTAGCTCAGTTGGTTAGAGTGTCGCCCCGAACACCAAGATTGCTGGTTCAATCCTCGGTCAGGACACATAGGGGAGTCAACCAGTTGAATGCATAAATAAGTGGAACAACCAATCGGTGTTTCCTTCTCCTCTCTCTTTCTCAAGTCAATAAGTAAAAATTTAAAAAAAGATCTTGTGAAAAAAGGTTCAATACCTATTTGCTCAAATATTGACACAGGCCAGGAGCTATGTTGTTTATTATGGGATAGGTAGGGTGTTGACGCAAGGGGGTAGACGTGACAATTAATAGCTGCGAGGCATTCATTGACTACTTGGCTCAGTTGTGTAGAGTGTGGGGACTTTCGGGAGGCCCGGGGAACAGATGTGAATTCCTTCTGGGACTCTCACTCTGCCATGTTCTGTAGCTAAAGATCTCACCTCAAACCCAAGCCAAGTATCTTGAGAATGTGTGTGATTGGTTATTTGGGACATTAGACTAATAACAGGTGAATGTACTAGCACTACAGAAGGTGCGCTGTATTGACACAGGGGAGGCTATATGAGTATTGATGTCTAGACATTTAGCTCATGACCAATTTCTCACGGCAAGTTCGACTTCATAAGCTAATATAGCTAAACTGAGAATTGTGGTTGTTAATGTTAATATATGTCCAGCATAATGTTAGCATCTCATCTCAGAGAGATGACAAAATCAACAACATGAAAAATCTGGGTGCTTCTCCCCTCCCCTTACACGCCCCCCCCCCAACCCGGCATCTTACCTTGACCTTTCTTCCTCCTAAGCTCCAAGGACTCCTCTTTGGCCTCTGTAAACTGTTTCCTGAGCCCATTTCTTCTACTTTCTAAATAAACTTTCTCTTATATAAAAATAAATTAATTAATTAAAAAACCAAGCTGTTCTTTTACTCATAGGTGTTGTCAAAGGGAGTAAAAGTTGATAGTATCTGTCAGTGGTTCTGGTCATTGCATTTTCTTTTGGTGTTTTCTGTTCCGTGTCTGGGGGCTGCAGTGCTTTAAAAATAAATTGGGGCAATATCTTCTCAACAATTCATGACCTTCTGTTGAGAAGAATGGGAGCGCACTAGTAAATGAGAAATAATGCATTTCCTTTGCTTCAGTGCAGACTACCTTGATGTCTAAGCGTAGGACTTCAGGGTCTCCCCCTTCCATTGAACTGATTTGATGTTTAAATGACTTCTTCAGGGTGTTTCTGTTTGATGAGATGCTAGAAAAGAAATCATAAAAGAACCACGGCAGTGTTCCTTGATCTGCCTATAAGTTACCCATGCATAGTCTGTTGTGGAATATGACATATCTCTTTCCTTTTTTTGGTCTTTTTCCAGAATGCTATGAACCTACCCCCTGACAAAGCCAGGTTACTGCGGCAGTATGACAATGAGAAAAAGTGGGAACTGATTTGTGACCAGGTAAGAAACAATGATGCTTTTATCAAAAAGTAATGAAAGAAGAGATTTCCTCCCTAAATATATTAGAACCCCCCCACCCCCGCCCCAGGAGATGCATGGATTTCTGTTTTGTGACTTGTTGCCTTCCTGTTTTTAAGATCAAAGGAAAAGTTAGAAAATGACTTCTTTTATTCTTGCATGATTTTGATTCTCTCCTTTATTTTTAGACTTTTTGTATTAGGTTTTCTGGGCTATCTGGTCTGGTCAGGGGGGCATCCAAATTCAGATGATCTGTTTTTCTATTTATCTCACAGAGCAGTTTATGCTGCTTGAATAAGGCAGGCCCTCTGATTTAGTCGGCTTTTCCATTCATGTATATTGATGCATATTCATGCAAGAGGGTGAATTGTTTATAAAGAGACTACTTTAGGCTGATAAAAAATTATTTCAGTGTTTAGCAATTCTTTTTATTTTATCATTAACTCATAACAAATTCACACTCTTCAGAAGGATATAAAATAAAAAGTAGAATTCCCCCTTTTCTCTCTACCCTCATAACTGCACACCTTAGAGACTTTGAAATGTCCTTCCAGTTTCCTTGTATGTTGTTATTTAAAAACAAACAAATATATGAACACACACACACACTCTCTCTTCCTCATCTTGATACATTTGTCAGTATATATGTCTCTACCTTATTCTTTTAGATGTTCTGTAGTAGTCCATTGGCAGTGGTAGTGATTTGGGGGGGACTTTGATCTAGGACTAGGTATAGGCTAGTTGTTTTAAAACGTAGAGAGTTAAAACGTAGAAGAGTCACTCCCTAAAGGTAGAGAGTAGGCTCTGCCGATTACATATTATCAACTTTTTCATTTTGTGCCATGAGTTTCAGAGTGCTCGCATCTTTTACGTCAGGCCGCCCTGAAACTTTCTGGGAGTGCTGTAATTCCTCTGACCAGAGCTCCCTGGGGTCGCTATTGTGGGGTACAATGTGTCAGGGGAGCAGAGGGGTTTTCTTAAGGGGTTTTCCACGTTTCCTAAGAAATAGATGCCTGCGGTTCTTAGAGGGTTTCTGCAGCACTCATTGTGTGTTGACCTAAGCCCTAACTAAAACAGTAATGAAATGACGGTAAGAATCCTCCCCTCTTTTTCCATCCTATATTTGAGCACTAAGAATAGATAGCAATGGAAGAGGAAGCCTACTGCTTACATGACTGGGTCCAAAAGAATAAAATGTGCTGACACTCATAATCTCCTTGCTCGAGACTTCATTTTTAATGACTATTAGCTAAACCTATTATTTTGAGGAAAAATGATTTTATGACAGTGAACAAATGTAATAGGGATAATTACTATAAAGGAAAGGTAATCACTCAAGCGAGGGAAGGCCAAGGGGTGAGAAATTCTACAGTCGCACAGGTTATGAATGACAGCGCAGGCGAAGGGAGACTGGCCCTGGTGGCAGTGAAGTTAGCGCTGAGAGGAAGGGCTGAGCCATCCTTCCTTCCTCAGACCCGCGGGCGTATTCACTGCCAACTCGGTCTTCCCTGCTCCTTCCGGGTGTGAATGAATTATTAGTGTTTGTATCTCCAGTGTGCCAGGCAGGGGAGGCTGCTGATGATGGAAGAGTTCCAACAGCTGTACTCTTCTCTCAGACCAGAAGTGGCTCCATAGGGTTGATGGTGGAGTCTCGGACAGCTTGAGGCTCGGAGAGTAGCAAATCAGTTATCTGATTATTTGCCTGATTCTCAGCTCCTCAGAGTTCAGGTTATTACTGCCTTAAATGTGACTATGCCAGGACGTGGAGAATTTAGCTACTTCATCTGTTCCTGGCAGTCCCTTCAACACAAGCTGAAGTGGCTCCATCAGTTCTGAGTTGTGGGTGATTTATTAATAGTGAAGTAATAATTATTATTGTTGTTGCCAATAGCCAGCATTTAGTAAGCAGATTTTCCGACCAAAAGCTCTGTGTTTAATCTTCAAAGGATACCAATAAGACTTATTAGTGACTCCATTTGACATATGAGGAAAACTGAGACAGCGATTAAATCATTGCTGAAGGTTGCATAGCTGTTAGGAGGTAATACGGCATAGACTGTCAGATTCCCGAGAATATGCACATTCCGGGCCTTAACCGTACTTTCTGCTCCCTTCCTCACTGAGTATGCAAGAGTTTGAATTTTATACTAAAAGGAAAAAGTACAAGCTATTCCTCTGCCCTGCATTCTGGTATTCTTTCCTGAGAGGGAGAGAAAGCCAGGGAGTTTTAGCACAGGCACTGAGCCTCATCTACCCACATGACCACCACGGTGAACTACCATTTTTTGATCAAACAGTCATTGGGAGAATTGTGTCCAGCAGAAAACTGGACTTTTTGTCAGATACAGCTAACTTATTGGTGTGTCACCCACATGAATATGACTTCTCCTATGTATGTTTCTGAGGGAAAAAATAAAATCCATTAGCTTAAAGCATGCATGATGTAATATTTATATGGCAAGTATAATGTATTCGTGTTTATTTCACTGAAGGCTTATCTTACCTGTTATCTACATAGACCTTGTCATACACACACACACGTTTGGCACATAATCTATATCTCTCTATGGTACCTAACCTGATGGACACTCAGAATACATTTGCTTTTATGATTCCATTTATATGAAATGTCCAGAATGAAAAATTCATAGAGAATGAAACTAGATTAATGGATGCCATGGACTGGGAGGGGGGATGAGAGACTGATAATGGGAATTATATCTCATTAAACATGATATTTGCCTCTGCAACAAACAGAGATAGGGAAAAACGGGGAGGAGGAGAACATAAGAGAAATAACTGTGTGTGTGGATCTTCTTTTGAATCCTTATCTGGACATACATTCAAGTACTTTGTGGGGATACTGAGGCATGTTTTATAGTAGCCTGAGGTGTAGTATGAGAGTAAGGAGCTGGAAATTCTGAGTTCCTTGGACAATTACAAATGAAAAACCCCAGCTGCTTGGCAATAAGAGGGCGCTCTCCTTGCTCTTTGTACCTGTACAGACAAAGAATGCCCCTTGCTCTCACTCCTGCCTCAGTTTTTGGTGTTCCCTAAACACAGACCCTGTGCTGCACTGTTTGGCTTTGGAGTCTTGGCTGTTTTCCATCAGCTTAGGGTAAACGCTGCACTTAGGGAGCTTCGGAGATCCTGGATGGACTTTCAAATCATTACAGCAGGTAGGGTTGTAGGGACCATGCATTTCAAGCCACTTTTTATTTTCCTTTTTAAAAGACTTTTTAAATTGATTTTTAGAGAGAGAGGAAGGGAGAGGGAGAGAAACATCAATGGGACAGCAGAACATCAGTTGGCTGCCTCCATCTGATGGGGATCTGGCCTGCATCCTGGGCATGTGCCCTGACCAGGAATTAATGGTCAACCTCTCAGTGACCGGGCCTTAACCATACTTGTTACACTTAACCAACTAAGCCACACTGGCCAGGGCTCCACTCTTTATTTTTCTACTTAAAAAGTTAGCATATGCTTGTCAAAAAGAGAAACTGTATTAGAGAGTGTGAAGTAAAGTGTAAGTCCTTTTGCCTTTCCTATCTGTTCATGCATTCCCTTAATTTATTGGTGATGAAATTGAGGTTCCAGAGCATAAATGACTAGACCAGTAGCACCAAGGCTTCCCTGGCCAGTGAGATGAATGAGAACACCTAATTTCCAAACCCTTTCAGTTATTTCCAAACCCTTTCAATTATTTCCTGTTACACAGGGGCCTGGAAATATTCATTGAAACAAACATTGTAGTAGATAAGAAGTAATCTCTGAGGCTTCATCCAAAGGCTTCTCGGGTGTTATTGGTTGGGGTCATGGATTGGTTCATAACTGAATGATGAAGTAGAAGTGGTTAGTCCTAATTTCAGGACATTTTAAATGACTAACGCCTATGGGTGTAAAATCAAGTTCTGGAATATTATGGTGCCACACCTGAGCTGGGTTAGAAGGCTTCCTCTCTGTGGCTTTGTCGGTACCGATGGTGAGATTTATTTTGGAGGTGGATGTGGCATGGCTTGGTCTTGCCCCCTAATGGCTGGCTATTGTTTTGCATTGTAGCCTTAATGAGAGATGGGGTCTCCCCCTTTCTTGACTTATATGGAATTATTTGGGAGAAGGAGATACAAACCAAAACAAAAGGGAGACTGAAGAGTTGGCTGGGAATCATACCCACCTAGACTCAGCTTCCTCGGGGAGATTGAATGTCAACCCTCAAGGCTCAGCATGTGTCCTGATCAGGAAAGGAGAAGGCGCCTGCTGCCACTGTGCCAGAGCTAAGTCAGGCCAGGGGCACTAAGATACTCCACTACACCAAGATACTCCACTACACCAGGATACTCCACTACACCAAGATACTCCATTGCAGCAAGACTTGCTCTCTTATCTTGATCAACAACTGACCCATACCATTTGAATGTATTTAATTATTATGAATATCATTATTTTGTAAACCCCTCACTTACATTTCCTAATACTATGTCTTTCAAAGGGAAAGAAAGTTACTTATTGGCTAACTTGTATCAAAAGTGAAGCCAATTTGCCACTGGAATAAAATGTTCTAAAATATTAAAGAGCTAACAAAGTCACTAATCATCTGAGAGATGCAAATCAAAACAACAATGAGGTACCATCTCACACCTGTCAGAAGGGCCATCATCAACAAATCAACAAATGACAAGTGCTGGAGAGGATGCGAAGAAAAAGGAACCCTCTTGCACTGCTGGTGGGAATGCAGCCACTGTGGAAAACAGTATGGTGTTTCCTCAAAAAACTAAAAATGGAACTTCCATTTGACCCAGTAATCCCTAGGAATATATCCCAAGAAAACAGAAATCAGAAAGGATATATGCACTCCTATGTTCATAGCAGCACAATTTACAATACCTAAGATTTGGAAACAGCCTAAGTGCCCATCAGCAGATGAATGGATTAAAAATAGTGGTACATCTACGCAATGGAATACAAGGGGTAATAAATAGGTA